ACCATCACAGAGCTGGGCTCATCAACACCCAAGGAGGCAATGGGACCCCCAGAGTAACAGAGACCAGGTAAAGATACAGAACCTCCATAAGGCAGGAGACTGCAAACACCACAAATCTGAAGGTCAGCCAAGGGGGCTTTACTTTCAGGAAGTTGTGGGGATGGGTATTGGAACATGTATCATTAGGAACAATATAGCCAGTCAACATGGGTATTTCTCATTATCCACAAGCTCAGTAAGAGTCTCTACTAAAAAAAAAAAAAAAAACTAAGGCTGAAACTGTACCCACACCTCTCGCTACTAACAAAAACTGATTCTCACTTGATAAAACATTTAAATTTAAGACATGAAACTATAAAAATACTAGAAGAGAGTACAGGGAAAATGCTTGAAGATATTGGCCTGGGAAAACATTTTATGAGGAAGACACCCCCCTCCCAACCTGGCAATTGTAGCAACACCAAAAAATAAAAAATAAATTGTAGGGATTTGACAAAGCTAAAAATCTTCTGCACAGCTAACAGCACCACAACTAAAGCAGTCTTTGGAATGGAAGATTTTTGCATATTATGATTCTGACAAAGGTCTGATAACTACAATCTACAGAGAACACAAAATCAGTAAGATCAATTCCATTTCTTTGTGGGCAAGAGACAAGAACCAAAACTTCTCTAAAGATGATAGACAAATTGCCAATAAACATATGAAAAAATGCTCATCAGTGTGGTGCCTGTGCCTCAAAGTAGTAGAGTGCCAGCTCCCATATGCCAGAGGTGGGCAGGTTCAAACTGAGCCCCGGCCAAAAACTGCAAAAAAAAGAAAAAAAAGAAAAGAAATGCTCATCAGAGAAATGCAAATCAAAACTACCCTCAGATATCACCTAACCCCAGTGAGATTAGCCCACATCACAAAGTCCCAAAGCTGCCGAGGCTGGTGTGGATGTGAAGACAGGGGAGCACTTTTACACTGTTGGTGGGACTGCAAACTCATACAGCCTCTTTGGAAAGAAATACGGAGAATCCTCCAAGAACTCAAATTAGATCTCCCATTTGACCCTCAATCCCATACTAGGCATCTACTCAGAAGAAAAAAAAGTCATTTTACCATAAGGACATTTGCACTAGATTGTTTATTGGAGCTCAATTTACAATCACCAGGATGTGGAAACAACCTAAATGCCTGTCAACTCAGGAATTACAAATTATGGCACATGCACAGCATGGAATACTATTCAGCCATAAAAATATGGTGACTTCATATCTTTTATAATATCCTGAATGGAGTTTAGAAAGCTGAGGTAAGTTCACCCAATAAAAAGTTGTACTGCCTTGCTCAGCTCCCAGACTTCAACCCATTTTCAGATCTGGAAAGAAGTGGCTGAGTCCCTCAGAAGGACAATGGCAAGTAAATGATGTTTCATCCAGTAGTTGGCCAAAGGGATCTATAGCTATTTACTTGGGTGTGAGTACACGGAGGCCCAGACATTTAGAGAAATATTGGACTCCACATATAAGTTGGCTGATACCTGGAGAAAAAAAACATCATTACAGCCCCATATAAAGGTTGAGTAATACCTGAAGTGTTGGCTAAAACAGGGCTCACAGTAGGCACACTCACCCACCCAGTGGCTATTTCCTAGTCCCAAGTATGTAATTGGAGTTGACTTGGTAGTTAGCAGTAACCCCCACATGGCCTATTGGGTAAGAGCTATCACAATGAGAAAAGCCAAGCAGAAACCTCTGAACTGCCCCTCACCGTGGACAAAATAGTAAATTGTGATTAGTGTTGTATCAATTCAGCTTAGGCTACAATACAGGGTGGGCATAAAGTTTATGTGCAATTTTAAATTGCACAGTATTTTAAATTGCACATGAATTTATGGTCACCCTGTATTTTGTACATATGGTTAACATCTATAACCGGTTAAGCCATAATTACCTTCGAAAATGTGGGTGGCCCAAAGCCAATCAGTTGAAAGCCAAATTGTATATAAAACCAGCACCATGTACCCCATGACTGCATTAATGTACACAGCTATGATTTAATAAAAAATTTTTTCAAAAGCACAAAACTGAGGTTTCCCTGAAGAAGAAATTTCTGCCTGTGTCAGCTCTTATCCTAGGAATTTCAGGCTACCTAACCAGGTCCCACAATTGTGTGATCAAGTTCCCTGCTATACAAGGTCTGACAATTCATCCTAGAAAAAGTGCTGCCGACCTCATTGCTGAAAATCACTACAGTTACCAGATGGCCAAGGAGAATACCTCAAAGGTGACCATAGTAGTATTTAGCAATGAGGTAGGTAGCACTTCTTCTAGGATGACTTTGCGAATTTAACTGTCGGACGTCCTATACATAGAAACCAGACAAAATGACCCAGTCAAGTGCATGGGCCTTTGTCACTGGCTATCAGAACTGGCATAATGGGCACATGAACAGAGCAGCCACAAGGGCTGAGATGGAGGCCAACATTAAAATGTGTAACTCCTGCTTACCAAGGAAACCTGGCAGGATTCTTCTAATAGATGACTCACCTTGGTCCTGCTGACTCGTAGAACTGGACCACAAGACTTCCTGCCCAATCTTCTTTCCTTCTCCTTCTCCAGAGGTTAGACCTACAAAGCCTGACAGCTTTCCCAGACTCTTCCACTTCCCCCATCTTCTCTCCAAATCTCCTGCACTTCTCATCAAGTACCCAAACTAACACAGAGAGAAATCTAACTTGATATGCTATTACGGCACTGGTCTTCTGTTTAGCAGGGTTAGGAATTCACTTTTAATAATTTATCATGGGGGAACTAAAGGTTCTGTGAACTAATTCCTACTAAATTCGTAAAAGACTGGCAGATAAAAGGTTAATACTCAGACGATATAATCCTAGCACTCTGGGAGGCTGAGGCAGGTGGACTGCCTGAGCTCACAAGTTCAAGACCAACTTCAGCTGTATCAAGACCTCCTCTCTAAAAATAGCCAGGCATTGTAGTGGGGGCCTGTAACCCCAGCTACTTGAGAGGGTGAGACAAGAGAATTGCTTCAGCCCAAGAATTTGAGGTTGCTATGAGCTGTGAGGCTACAGCACTCTACCAAGGGCAACAAAGTAAACCTGTCTAAAAAAAAAAAAAAAGAAAAGAAAAGAAAAAGATTCCAAATAATAAGGAACTGCCCAGCAGACAAGAGACATAGGTAATGGAGCTGACAGTTTCTCATCCCAGAAAGAGCAGCTACCTGAAAAGTGGCCCTAAACCTAGAAGGTATCCTAGTATGTCTGGAACACAATAAAGAAGCTGACTAACCAAAAGATGGAAACAAACCAAACATCCACCGACCAAGTGGATAAACAGAATGTGATACAGTCATACAGTAGGATATTACACAGCCATAGAAAGGAATGAAGTATTGCCATATACTATACCAAAGATGGACCTCAGAAACATTAAGTTAAAGAAACAGGACACAAAAGGCCATGAATTCAAGGAGACCAAAAATCACACTACAACAAAGATATTTGTACCAGAATGTTTATTGCAGCCCAATTCATAATTTCTAGGTCATGGAAGAAGCCCAAGTGCCCATTGACCCAAGAATGGATCAAAAAATTGTGGTATATGTACACCATGGAATACTATGCAGCCTTAAAGATGGAGACTTTACCTCCTTCATGTTTACATGGATAAAGCTGGAAAATATTTTTCTTAGCAAAGTACTCAACAATGGAAGAAAAAGTATCCAATGTAATCAACCCTACTATGAAACTAATTTATAGCTTTCAAGCTATAATGCAATTATACCCTAGAATATGGGGAAAGGGGAGAGAGAGGGAAAGGGAGGGGAGAGAATGGGTGAAGGGAGGGTTATTGGTGGGACCACACCTATAGTTCATCTTAGAGTACGTGTGAATCTTTCTAAATGTAGAATATAAATGTCTTAACACAATAACTAAGAAAATGACATGAAGACTATGTTAACCAGTTTGATGAAAGTATTTCAGATTGTATATAGAACCAGCACACTGTACCCCATGACTGCATTAATGTACACAGTTATGATTTAATTTAAAAAAGACTATGATTTTATGATTCCACTTATTTGAAATACCCATAATAGGCAAATCCACAAACATAAAACTAGTGATGACAGACAGGGGAGCAGGGGGTGAGCATGGGAGTGCAATAGGATGGGGAGTTATTGTTTATGGAATGGTTACACAACACTGTGAATGTACCAAATGCCACTAAATGGTTCCCTTTAAAATGGTTAATTTGGGAGAGGGGAGGGAGGGAGAGGAGATGGAGGGATGGTGATTGGTGGGATCACGCCTATGGTTCATCCTTTAAGGGTACATGTGAATCTCTCTAATTGTAGAATATAAATGTCTTAACACAATAACTAAGAAAAAGACATGAAGGCTATGTTAACCAGTTGGATGAAAGTATTTCAAATTGTATACAGAAACAGTACACCATACCCCATGATAGTATTACTGTACACTGCTATGATTTAATAAAAAATTTTTAAAAATGGTTAATTTTACTTAATGTGAACTTCACTTCAATACAAATAAATACATTGCAAGGAAAAATCTGGAAAGAGACGTATCAACAAAAAATAATTTCTTAAAAACTAAAAAGACAATAAAAGAAGTTTTAACGAGCGAG